ACCATGCTCTCATTGTACTCTTGCAGCTGGTAGTACACCTTTGCTGCTACCAGGGCTGCAAGCTCGCGCTCGGGAAACGACTCATCTTCGTAGAGGGCCTCACTGTGACGGCATCCGTATTAGTAGCTGTACGATAACGGGAATTACCCGAGTAATGTGTGCAGTGCATATCTGAGCTTCTTACATTTGACTGACGGAGCCCGCGACTTCTGGCCATAGCAGGTCGATCTCCTCGTTCAGCCGCTGGAGGGCGAATGAGCGCAGCGCTGGATCCGGTTCGGAGAGGAAGCCAACAACGCCGGCGGCAGATGTAAGACCGACCATTGTGTTGTGCTGAGCGAGGATAATGCGTGTTTCGGTGTTGTGAAACGGTTGCCCGCGGTGTTGAGGAGAGAAGGAGCTGTTGCGGAAATGGGTAGAAGGCGATGGAGCTGCGCAGTGGCGCCTGCGGGCTTGCCTGCGATCAGAGGATACGGGGGGACCGTGATGCTTCGGACTTGAGCGTGACCGCTGCAGTGAATGAGGGACAAAGATGTGAGATTGAGGAGAGATTGATGGGGATGGCGAGGCGCCGTGGTGGTAAGTTCGGGGAACCGTGTACGTGATGGTCTAAACACAGCTCGTGAGTCTCGGAAGCGGCGACCCTGGTCCACTTCGACATGACATAATACGCTAGCCTGCACATCACTCCCACGATAAGATCCATGGCGTGCGCCTCACTTGCGATGTGTGGCTCTTCATAGAAAAGGAGTTTGTGTGACCATTAGGAATAACATTTTTGCAAATAATACAGGACTCGCACAGCTGGCATAGCTAGTAAAGCTACATACTTGCCCCTGAATATTAGTCACAGGCACAGAGTGAAAGGAGCAAGTGGAAGCCATATGATGCGAAGTAAATAGTGAGAAACGGGTATCTTATTTTCGAAACACAAACTCCTGGCGATGCTGATCCCAAATTTGCTGTTTCGCGTTGAACCTTCCAAACGCCGTATACGAACAACAATAGTATTACAGTACATCCATACACTCATCCATGCCCCTATGCACTGGGGCCAGGACCAGAAACCGTAATCTCACGCGACAACACCCGCAGGTTGTTCATCATCCCGTTGATCAGGCTCTCGAATTTGGTGGGCTCCTTTCGTCTCACCTTGTCTGCTTCTGCTATGAGCACACCAGAGTCTAGTTCCAGTTCCAGTTCGTGGTTCTTGCTGGCCCCTTGAGAAACCTGTGTGAGATCAACCTGATAAGCACCTAGCCACGAGTATGACATGCGGTCCTTTTGGCGGTGCATGCCCTCGGCCGTCTTTCCACCCTCCACGGCAGGCGTGAGACTTTCTATAGGACCTGGGAAGTCAATTTCCAAGTTGATGCCAATGCGGTAGTCCCACTCGGTCTTTGGAGAGCTGACTTCGAGGTTGCCTAGCCTGTGCTTTATAATCGCACGCAAGAACTCGCCCGAGTTTTTGTCGCGTGTCACACGAACACGCTGTCGGCCACCAGCAGTGCTTATTAAACGCTGAACAATGGGATTCAAAGAGCTGAAGCCTTGCTGGTCTAGTTCGTAGAACATGTCCGTCTCATAGGTGTGTCGGTAATCGATTGGAGGTCGTGGGACTCCTGGAGCCTTTGATTGCTGAACCTGAGCGTTCAGAAAGAGGTTCATGCGCTTGTGTTGTTGCGCCGTCATGGTACTCTCAAACTTGACTTCCAAAACATCGGTATTCAAAACCGTTTCTGTGCGCCAAAATCCACGCAGTCGCTGGTCCGTCTGCTTGTCAATGATCTGACCCCAGCGCGCTTCCACTTCGAGCTGCACTTTTGGATCCGCGATCGCGCTCCGCACAACTTCATTGTTGACGGCCGTGTTCCATATAAAATCGCATACGTTGCGTGACACGTCATCGTAGATTTGTGCGTCGTTGGAGATGGGTCGCTCGAAGCCAGAGAGTTCGCGCACCGCTGTGCCTGGAGGAGGAGCGCCTTTCTCTGATGATGGATGTCCGTTTCGCTCAACCATTGGCGACGGTTGGGGTCGCGGTTGGGGGTGAGCCTGGGGCGGAGGCTGCGCGTGCGGCTGGGGTTGAGCGACAGTCGGCGGCGGACGCGACTGCTGGCGCTGCTGCTCTACGAGCTGCTTCAGTTCGGGGGGGAGCTCCTCACCCTCGCGATAAGCCCATATTGGCTTTGGATCGTGGCGTTTGCGCTTGAGCGACATCTGCTTGAACTTGGTTTTAGGCGGCGGCGAAGGTATCTTTGCAGCAAATGTGACGGGAGAAGAGGTCGCGGTGGAATGGGGGATGGAGAGCGAACGGCGCGGTAGCACCGTTGCGTCTCCATCATGATTCACTAGCGCAGATATATCCATGGAGGGTGTGGTAGGGTTGTGCGTCGGTCAATGTACTCACCATCGTGTACCAGGAGGCTAGTGTTGCTAGCGCACGGCCCCCAGGAGCAAAGTGACCCTGGCTGCGCGGTCCAAAGCCGTTGCCTTGGATGTCGCTCTAGTCTTTGTTGGGTTTCAGCACATGCTGGCCGTTCCCCGGGCCTGCCTTTGATGGAAGTGTAAGGTGTTCATTCAGAGTTTGCCTACTATCCGCTAGTGTCTACATCGAATCTTGCGGTTCATGCGCCAGACCGTCATTTGGTCAGGCGAGTCATGTATGTGCATCTTGTGCAGCCCTCTCTCTCTCCACATACACACGCCCCCTTCTATCAATAAATAGAACGTCTCCGCTCCCGCGGTACCCTTACGCGTCTTGGTCAAGGCCCAAATCTTCCTGCGCCGGGACAATGCGGAGCGTGTTCGTGTGTCCCATGCCTCCCCTCCAACCTTGCACGCAAACAACGGGATCACCCTTGCTGAGCACTCCGAGCTTGATGGCGTTCATGATGCCCCACTTCAGCCGGCGGTCAACGTCCTCCTGCCATGGCTCCGTCTTGAAGTCTGGCTTCGCCTCGGGGAAATAGAATGGGTAAACGCCGCGGTAGAGGTGTGAATACTACACAAATTAGTGACTATTACACTTGTCGTATTTTGCATCAACTTACCCTGGCGGCCATCGCATTACGGGTGACCATGATGATGGGACAAACAGGCCTGTACTTGGAGACAAGGCGGGCGGTCGTACCACTAACATTTGTTAAAATTCATCGGTATACAGGCCTTTGGGCCACTCACCTGGTCGTCAGAACCAGAATAGCACCGGCATTCTGCTCAAGACTAGCGCTGACTGCGGCCATGGCGCATGTCTCAGTGGTTGGGCATGGCACTGGAGCAAGCTTTCGCAGCTCGTCGAATGCATTGACATATGGAATAGCGACTTCAGCGAGCAAGCACGTCTCGTGCATCATGGTAACGGCCTCTACGGGGTAGTCACCCTTTGCAGTCTCGCCAGACAACATGACGCAGTCAGCGCCATCGAGGACAGCGTTACCAACGTCGCTGACCTCGGCACGAGTTGGGCGTGGGTTGTAGGTCATGGACTCGAGCATCTGAGTGGCGCAGATGACAGGCTTGCCGGCAATGTTGCACTTGGTGATCATCATCTTCTGTGCAATGAAGACCTGGCTGGGTGGGATCTCGATACCAAGGTCACCACGAGCAACCATGACACCGTCAGTCTCTCGCAGAATCTCGTCAAAGTTGTTTACACCCTGCTGGTTCTCGACCTTGGCAATGATTTGGATGTCCTTGCCCTCCTCACCGAGCACCTCACGGATGGCGGTGATGTCGCTGCCGCGGCGGATAAAGGACGCAAAGACCATGTCGACCTTGTTCTTGACACCAAACTTGAGATCGGCCTTGTCCTTCTCTGAGAGCGGAGGAAGATCAATGTCGGTCTTGGGCAGGTTGACACCCTTCCTTGACGAGATCTTGCCGTTGTTGACGCACTTGCACTTGAGCGTCTTGTCGTCTACGATCTCGAGGACCTCAAATGAGAGGACACCATCGTCGACGTAGATTGTGCGGCCAGCCTCAATCACCTTGGTGATGTTCTTGTAGTCGACGTACATGTTCTTGTCGTCGCAGGCAGCGGCGTATTGTTCATCGGTAGTGATGTTTATGATGGCACCGGCCTTGATGGGGATATCAGCATCGCCCACGGTGTTACCCGTTCGGATCTCGGGGCCCTTGGTGTCGAGGGCAATGGCAAGCGGCCTGCCAGGCTGTGACTTCTCGGCTTCGCGCGCATGGTCAATGACGGACTGGTGGTACTCGTACGAGCCGTGGGAGAAGTTCATGCGGACGACATTGAGACCGACTTTGCGGAGAGCATTGATCTTCTCAGCAGAGTTGGTCTTGGGACCAATGGTACAGATGATGGAGGTTCGTCGGTACTGCTTAGCAGGGGTGTACTCAGTGTTGAGCTGGCTGAGCCACTCGATCCTGGTCCTGCCGGAGTTGAGGTGGTCTAGACTACATTCGGGGTCAGTGAATGCTCCGGAGGGAATATAGTCCCGACATGCCCATGGCGCGCGGTTGTTGCTGCAAAGCTGCAGATCCAATGACACCGTCTATGGGTGAACTGATCATCATGGAACAGGAAGGTAAGTCAAGAACTTGGTACAGAGCCAAGTTGGACACTTTTCCTCCCCCGCGGAGCTGTCTTATCTGCGCAGACATGCGTGGACTTGGGCCGACCACATCTGCTACAAACAAGAAGCCTGCGGTGTGTGTGAATGAAGTATACGTACGCGTTTGCCATTTTCTACGTCTAGTAGTGTGTGAATGGGGAGGGAGAAGGAGGGAAAGGGAGGGCTGTGAGCGAAGTTATATCGCTGTAGCGGAGTGCGGGGCCGGTAGGAGCAGTATACAGACAGTCCACTTGGCAATGTGGTGGCTGCAGAGTAGAGAAGGAAGAGGAGAAGGTGAGCGAGCTGGCTACGAAGACAACGGCGCTCGACGAGTTTATCTTGTGCAGGCGCGGGCTAGAAGTTTTGTTGGCTGTTGAGCGTGTTTTGGAGGGGCAGTAGTTTTGGCGCTAGTGTAGGTGCTTAGTACGTGGGGCTGCACCCTGAGCGACGGCACGTTTGGATATAACAATTGGAAACGGATTGCGATGGAGAACTGGGCCTGGGAGCAAAAAATGTGGGCTTGATAGCGCCACTCCAGTTCCGCTGACTGGCCTGCTGACGGCATTTCTGACCTGCCTCCGTGGTGGTGGTGACCCTCTTCACCCATTGCTTGTTCGAAACCACCCACGTTGCGGCGTCATTTGCACTCAAAGCATCCCACTCTGATAAGACCCTGTACGTACAGACGCAACCTGCTGCTCAGGGCCATTGCAAATCGCGGCGCCGCATTCCGGTGTCCCCGTCCGGTGTCCGAATTCCGGTGTCTCGTCTTCGCAGTCTAGCTAGTGGCCATTTGAGTTTATGTATCGGTGCGCGGCCGGATGCTGGCGTGTCATGGCATATTTTTTTCTTCAGTGCTTGTGCCCGCGTGGAGATGCATGGTGCCTTGGGGGTCTCATGGGGTCAAGGTCATGGAAAAAAAGAGCCCTGAAGGGGCTTCACCACGTTGAGGACGGCCTAGTTATATATCACCTGCTTGTAGAATGGCCCGCTCCTAGATCACCCGTAGGTGCTCCGCATGGCCGTGGTGCCCGAGGTTCAATCGCTGTCCACCTGCCACTGGGACGTGGGTATCCTGGAGTTCCATATCAGTGGGTACAATCACGGCCGCCGCCGCGTGTCCCGAGGTTGTACCTGAAGTACAGTATGTGCGAATGGCCTGTTGTAAGCGATTCACGGATTGTCACTCTGCAGGCACATGGGCTGTGTCTGGGTGTGCAAATACCACAGAGTGCTCTAATCTCTTGCCGTGGTCCAGATCAACATGTAACGGCGCGGGAAGCCTACTCAAGTCGCGCATGCTGCGTGCCAACTGAATCACATGCAGGGAGAGTGACTAACCACGGCACCAGCCACACGTCTCTCCACCACCACTTCTACCTAATCGCTCTACACTGCATCCTTCCACCACTCAACAACCGCCACCCGCGACAACACCCATACCCGCCACACTTTTTGGTACAGTGATCGCCAAACATCTCCCCCAGACACAACTCCGCTTCGCCCCATACCCTCCACAATGGTCGTAGGTTGCCTGCTCCGGATCCGCGCCTGTCGGGCCGCCGAGTCGCATCTTCAGTAGCTTACACACCCTCCAGCTCGGCAAAGTCGCACATTACGCCTTTGATGCGGTACTTAGTACGTACACAGAAAGTATGCCTATTCCAAAAACAACATCACTAACCATGTCACAGTCTCCGCTTTCCTGGCTGGCGTCCGGCGCTCAACCGGCCTCACGTACGTTGTCCCCATCCTCTGTCCTTCCCAGGCACAACCACCACACACACAACAACTTCCCGGCCCGAGCAATAAGCTCAACAAGATGTTGCGACATTGATACAAGTCTGGAGCTAAAGCTAAACCCCAGACCCAGTTTAAAGCCAGATTCCTTCAGCGAAAACCCCAGCGCCCTCAAGTGGTTTGAAAACTACCTTTGGGTCGGTGAGACCGTCATGGACCAGAGCGTCGCCCTTTTCGGTGCCAGCTCGTACTTTGAGCGCAAGCGATAAATTCGCCCTTTCCGATATGTACACACTGAGCACGAGAGCTTGGTAGTCGAAGAATGAAAGCGACCCCTTGTAGCGACGGACAAGAAAGAAATGAGACGCTGAGCCGTTTCGGGTGAGAGAAAAAAACAAGAGACAGAAACATTGCAGTGAGCCGTAGAGACATGGATGTTAGTCTATGGGAAGTGCGACCTGCGTAGTACGCAGCACGACACAACACCGGGGCAGAGAGCATGTGGTCATGGTCATGCGGGTTTTAAATTTCCTCGTTTCGCTCCTTAGGTAGAGGGCGTTGGGACGCCTACTATCTCATCGTCTATCTAGACGATACGAATTTACGCTTTTTGACATTTACACCACCGTTTTCCCCCTCAACCGTGACAATGCGATGAATGCGATTTCGCTACTGAAGTAAATAACCTATCTGGGTATCATGCTTTTTTGCAGAACACAGGAAAGCACACACACACGCTTACTCCATATTTCTAACCATACTTCCCTTTCCACGCGAAACAAGACTTATCCCCTCCGCTTGAACCTAAACCCCGTCTCCTCATCATCGCTATCATCATCTCTCCTTCCAAACCTACCTTTCTTGGCAGGCGGCCCGCTCGCAGCTCCAGATCCCCTCTTCCTACTACTCCGCGTCTGCGTACCCTCGAGCTGCGTTTCGACAACTCGCTGCGTCCGTCCGCTACTCCTCTGCGTCCGCCCTGTAGGCACCACTTCCTCGTCGTCAGGCCCGCTATCCTCGACATTAATGACTTCCCGCGGCGTCTGCGTCTGCGTGCTATGCTTGCGTCGAGCGAAGCCACCGACTTCTGGTTCAGAGGCCTCGTCGTCGTCGTCGGCTTGTGTGCCGCGGCGGCTGTGGTGCGAGCGCGATGAGGGTTCCACGTCTTCGAGGAAGAAGGCGTCGCCGATACCGAAGCCTTTCTTTGGCGGGGCCTCTTCGAGCGTGACGAGGACTTTGTGGCCTTGCACGCCTTGTTCGGCGCCGCGACGACGGAAGCGCTTGAAGTTCTTGCGGCCGTTCCATTCGGGATTCCAGCGGTCGCTGCCTGTTCTGCTCTGGTTGTGCGGGTTGCTTCTGCTTTGTCGTGGCAGGACGTCCATTTCCTCTATCTGTGCTAGGTTCTTGAGTTCAGAGATATCAATGCCTTGAAGCGCTTCTCGAAGGTTTTCTTCGTCTGCTTTGCGTCGCTCTTCCTCTTCCTTAATCCGTTGACGCGTGTGCTCACGGACATTGATCTCTTTCTCTGCTTTGGCCTTGGCCTTATTGAGTCGTGCCAATGCATCTACGCCTTTAGTGTTTGACTTTTGTACAGGTCCACCTGCTTCAGGCTCCACCGAAGCTGATGGAGCACGAGTAGCTGCTCGCTGTTTTCTCATCTTTGCGGCCGTTGGAAACAGCGTGTCCATCTGTTCCTCCTTTTCGACGCTGTCTTGAATATGTAATGGTAGAGAGGCTTGGTTCTGCGTACTGGGACCAGTTTGTGTCTGTGGAGTTGCAACTGATGACCTTGAGGCAGCGACCTGCTGCACATTCTCCTCTGGTATGGTTTCCACTTTAAGCTTCTTCTTCGGGATCGGTTCGTCATCATCGAAACCGGTGAAGCGGCTGGTCTTGGACCTACTTATGCGCTTTCGCGGAACCACCTTTGTGGGTTCTTCTGCCGGAGCTGCACTCCCTTCTCGGGATTGTGAAGGTGTCCCTGACCTAGACATTGGAGTTCGGGCGCGGGTGGAACGTCGAGTTGGAGCTGAGTCTGGTACAGGGTCACTAGAAGGCACTTCGATAACTTCAGCGGGTGGCCGTTGGAGTTGAGTGCGGTCCTTTGTGATAATCACATCGAGAAACTCGTTTTGTAAGATGGAGCGTTGACCAAGTGCTTGATCAGCTCCAGTAACAAAGCTTGCAGCCCATTCTTCCATTGCATCAGGATAGGTTGGTAACCGCACTGTTATAACTGGAAGCTTCTCGTCACTTTTTCCACGCCGTTTCTTGCCTGCAACGCTGTGAACGTAATCGACGTATTCCTCGACAGTTGTCTCGCCTGGCCGGATATTGTAAAGTAATGCCTTGCCGCCTCCACCAGTGACTGGGTCAAGCAAGCTACTGTATTGGCCTTCATTCAAGAAAACAAATGTTAGGCCTGAGAAAACTTCTGATCTTGAAACATCAGGAAGTAGCATCTCCTGCGGGCGAGCTACTGGCTCTGCTCCTGCTGTTGGTACATAGTCCTTCTCAGCCGGCCACCATGTGTCAAAGTCCTCTTCCAATTGAGATGGTATATAATTTTGTTCTTCATCGACTGATGTGGCTGCAACACGGAGAACCGCTTCGAGAAATTCGGCAGTAACTATGTGCTTGCCGGACGTTAGACCGGAGAGAACCTTGGGTAAATTTCGCTTCGCTGATACAACATGGGTTGTCTTGTCGAACACAAATTCTGTCGTGGTCTTGATGTCTAGGGAGTGCAATTGCGTACTACGTGCTTTGCCGTCCCTTGACTCCTTCGACGCATAGGTGAACACAACCGGACGCCAGACAATTTTGAACGGCGCATAGCCTTGGGCTAATCGAATCGTGTGCTCTGTTCCTTTCAGTATCTCGCTACTGTAGGTCACCGTTCCATCATCTGCCTTTTGGCTCTTCAGTGTTGTCTTCTCATCGATTGTAGTTCCTTGACGGCAGCTGAGGTCAGTAACCTCAATCTGTGACCGTTTGTGAAGCTTGGTTCCGTCCTCTGGTACCACCTCATAAACTTTGAGCATAACATGCTTTCTCGACACAGCTTTGTTGTCAATTTTCCAATTCCTTCCCTGTGGGCCATCCTGGTCGGCCGCCCTAGTTCGACCGAAGAGCTGCTGCGATCCCGGGCGCAGCCACACGCGCTTCCCTCCAAAAAGACTCTCGTGTTCCAGGAACCACATGGTTGTGGGCTACGGCGAAGCGGATTACTAACGGTCGGGCGGCGATGTATCTGGTGTGTTGCGCATCCTGGCTTTCATGGTACGCCTACGCTCTTTCTCGTCTGGCATGGCACGACATGTGAACAGGCTACACTAGAGCATCCAAGCTGACGCGCTGTCACGTGACGCGCTAACGATATGCTCCCCTCATTACCTTAACCAGTCACTCTGCTGCTCCCACTTCTAGGTTCTCACACATCTGCTCACTCTCTATGCACTATGATTTTGATATCCATTGTACATTTGATGCTCTATTGGAGTAGTCGTCATGCCTAATGCTGACTGCTTCTTCGCTTCGTACATAGCCTGATCCCGCTATACATCGAATGACTTCTTGAGCCATTCAAGCCCGCAACATATTTACTTCCCCAGTATCATCTTCTCTGGACATCCGATAGGTATTGGTGCACTTTCAATCAGTACAAAAACAAAAGACATGTATGTCGCGTGTCGCGAAGTCAATTGGCGACGCCTGGTCGCCTCCTGATCATGTATCGCATCTCTACTCTCCTCTTCTATACTTGTACCTGGTTTATCTGGAGCAGAGCCTCCCGCCTGGACTGCATTGCTTCTTTAGCCGCGGCATTCTTCTCACGCTCTTCCTGAATCTTTTCGGCATACTTGCTGCGAGCTCTGATCCGAGGTCCCCATTTGTAGATCCAAAACACTGGTATACAG